AGAGGAAGACCCTGTATGAGATGGATTGATTCAGTGACAGGGGTAATGGGGGTAGGTGTGTAGGAGACACTGAGATTTGTACAGGACAGAGCAGAGTTTAGGGCTGTTGTACATAGGGTCTCTATGAGTCGCAGGTGACTCAATGGCACATAACAGCAAAAATAACAACAATATGCCATTAACACTTTACTTAAAAAATATTAATAACATGAAAACAAAGAAGAGACAAGAAAATGAACCAAAATGAAAAAGATGTTTAGCTTTGTACTAAGATCCTATTAAGATATTTTCTCCTTAATGCTATTTCACATTTTATAAGTTGTTTTTAAAGGAGAGAGAACTGAGTAATGGTTTTATTTCAAGACTAGTATTAAACATGTGCATGCTCTTTGTCATTGTCCTTCTGTTGAAACGATTTCTAGTTGACTTTCCAGAGTGTTTTCTTCCATGAGTGTAAATTTGCACTGGAGAAAACGTCTCATTTTTCTCCCACTGAACCAGTAGAGAAGTTCTGCCTTTTACTTAGCAGTCCCACTCTGTACCTACTACACCAGCCCACCTCATTTAGTATATGCTATATTTTACTTCTTAGATTATTCTTTTTCTTTGATTTTTCATCACACATAAGATCACTAGTGTGAAAAAAAACCAAAAGTAACACAAGTAAAAGTGTGGTCTCAGACAACTCCACCTTACCAAACTCTGATAATGAACTTACCTGGCATTTTCCTTTCTTTTGTGCAGAAGAGTTTGCTGGAGATTTCAAAGGCATTTCTCTCACAACTATTATTGATCTGTTACTTCCTACCAAAGATTTTCCAAGGACACGATAAAAATAATGTAATTTCTGTATATTTCTCCTTGCTTTGGCATCATTAGCTTTAACTGTAGGTAACAAATTATTAAAATATAGTTTTATTAATATTTCTATTTAAAGTACCCATGCATAAAACATTCATTAATTAAATAATAATTTGTTTTAATTCCTTAAATATTTATTAATCATATCAAACATTTTAGAGACAAAAGCAAAAGATACAATTAATTGATCTGTATTTGAATATCTTAAACTCCTTGTTATCTGTCAGTGCCAAATCATAGTAATACTCTGTTACTTTGAAGGCAATGAATCTTTATAACATGAAACTGACCATTTTATTCCATTCAATGATTAGTGGATTATAAATTATAACCTTCTTATTAGTATCCCAACATGTTACATACTACATCACCTTTAAAGATCCTCAAAATCAAAGTCATAGGCATGAGATTAAAATAACTGGCCCTAAGGCAGATTAGGGGAGACTATTAGTTGCCTAGGAGATTGTCCATTTCTATTACAGAGTTGCTGGTGGATTCCAACTACCACAAAGGTGCTGCAACTATTTAGAGACTACCAGAGATCCCTTTAAATATCACTGAAAGACCTAAATGAGATAAAACCAATTATGGCGGTTTTGGTGGCATTGGACATAAGATCATGAATAAATCTTTTAAATAATCCAACTTAGAAAGGCAAATATCTAAGGATAGAAGTATTTTGTTGTTGTTGTTGTTGTTATGTGCTGTCGAGTGGCTTGCAACTAATAGCGACCCTATGTACAACAGCTCTAAACTCTGCTCTGTCCTGTGCCAATCTCATTGCCTCCAACACACTTATCCCAATTGCCCCAGTCACCGAATCAATCCATCTCCCAGAGAGTCTTCCCCTCCTGTGCCTGCTGTCCACCCTCCCAATCATGATGTCCCTCTCCAAGGACCAGTCTCTCCTTACAACATGACAAAAGTATGTCGGACAAAGCCTCAGAATCCTTGCCTCCAAGGAGCAGCCC